TTTATAGTTTTGTTGTAAATAGAGTTTGTTTGCCGAGTTGCCGACGAGTTATTTGGAGAGTCGAAAAATCGCTTTTGTTTTTTTGATAATGCTTTATTTATTTTGCGTAAAAATGAAGTGGATTGAGGGTAAGGTTGTATTAAATTTTTAGTTTTCATTTATCCTTTTGGCTATGGTTTTTATTTTGGGAAGGTGAAGAAAATTGAAGAGAGTCGGGGAGGAGAATACAACGGAGGAAGGACCGTGAAAGACTGCCTTTGCCCCATTGTGTATATGGGAGAAAAGCAGTGAAGAGTTTCGCTGTAATTTTTGTTGGGCATTTTCACTTTTTGCTCTCTACAGGTCCTTAATGACCCCTGTTAAGGAATAGGGTCATCGTGGTTATCTTCGTTATTATTGATATGTATGTGGTCGTTTTCTGCTCGATGTATAGTTGAGAATAAAACAAGTGATGCGAGAGGAATTTGAGCAAACCTGGCTTCTGATAATTAGGATTTATTACAAGGAATGGAAGCAGAAAATGAAAAAGGATCAAATTAAAATATTAAGAAACAGGGGAAGAAACAATGTAAGTGGCAGAGTAATGATGGAAAGAAAAAGCATAACGATGGCATCGTTAAAGGTACGATTGTTATTAAGTGAAATGTTTTAATCAGGGCTTTGTCCTCCCATGGGACCTGGGAGTTGTTTTCCTCTGCATTAGAGAAAACGCAAAAACGTGATAAAGAGGCAATGAGCAGCAAACAACAACAGCAGGAAAAGCAGCGATAACTTTTTCTTCTTTAAAGCGAAGGCATTTTTTTCATGACAGTGGTGGTGTTTGAAAGAGAGAAAAGTAGCAAAGAGGGCTTTTAGTTATTTTATGCAGGAGAAGAAAGAAAGTGAAGAAAGAAGAGGCTAAAGATTGGTGACACTGGAGAAAACAAAGAAGAAACAAATTATAATTGGAAAAACAAAGAAAAATTAAAAACTTTTTTTTTTCAATTTTCCACTTTTTTACAAAATATCTTAGTCAAAGTTTGTTGCTTTATCGCGATGAAGTCAACAGTTGAAAGCTTCGTTAGATTCCGTATGCCATAATTTAGCATAAAATCCACTTGTATAAGTAGATTTGCTTCTTTCACTTTTCATCTATCACCATTTCCATCATTTCGACTACGATCCTATGAGCAAAGTAATTGACAAACATCAAAAAAAAAAAAACTTTTTGTTAACAACTCTCACATCTTGTATCTTTTCACTTGTCGTTGATTCTATCCACTCTGCTATCTTACTATGTTACTTTTTCTCTTAATATGTCAAACTGGGAAGAAGAAAATATCTGATTGAGCATAAAAAAGGAATATAGAAGTTCACGATAGGTGAAGAAAAGTTAATCCGCTTGCCGTAATGGTAGTGACTTCGGGATAATACTTTATGATTTCACAGCGAATATTGTTTTGCTGTTATAGAAAAATATATTAAAAGGGTACTTGAAGCTGTTCTCTAAACCATCGAATAAGACAAAAAAGAGAAAGAAAGATCGCTAATAACCTTGTCCACCCACAGTCTCTACTGCACTTTCCGTGCCTTCCGCTCAACTACCTTTCATATTAGCGTTTATGTGCACGTCAACTCAAAGCCTCCAATCAAAAATAGCATGTACAGCATAAATGAAATTTTCTTTCGGTTTTTAAACAGATTATGGAGAAAAAGACAGATACAATTTAAAAAAAGATCTACAAAAGCAAAACAATATATGCTACATATCATCGCGTGGTTATACCCAACTTAACTACTGGTAGACGAAAAGTTAGTGCTGTTATCAGTAAATTAAAATTTTCTTCGAGTTTTGTATCCTCAGCAGTCAATAAAGCGAAAGTCAAAAAGCAGTTTTAAGCTGTACTTTTCAAAGACAAAAAAACAAATATTCCTCATTACTTTCACCTAAATGCAACGTTGTTTACTTGTTGTAGTAATTGAACATGTGTCTATTCTTATATATACACACGTATACTAATTAGTTTGTTTGTTCATTCACTTACTCACTTATTCACTTCTTCAATTATTCGTTTATTCATCCGCCTAATTAGACCAAATTAGCTTTGTTTTCAGGTAGTCAAGAATTTTTGAAATTTATTCAAAAATAAGCTGAAAAAATTAAAAATTTCTTTCTATTTTTAGTCTGATTTTTGTTTCCGGAAGCCTGTTTATTAGAAATTAATTACACTGGCGCTATTCGCAAAAGTGCTATCAATGTTAACACGTGCGAAATCTTTTTCTGATCATTACTGGCAACGACAACCATAGCATCTAAGAGATGCGAAAAAATAACATCAAAAAAAGGCAAAAAACAAGTAAGAGAGAAGTACACACAAGAAAAAACCATGAGTAACTTGATGATTAGTAGAAATACAGACAAGAGTTACATATTTTAACAAAAATTTAAGTTGAAAAAAAATAAATTTCTCTTAGCTCTCTCTACTTCTCTTTTTATCACTGCTACACCTCAACAGAAATTATGTTGTTTTGTAAATCCTGAATACTGGCAGTATCAGCAGGAAAAAGAAGGAAAGAAAGCAGATGAAACATATGAACCAATTTTTCTACTTCTAAAGAACCATATAGAATCTAAAAAGAGTAGTTTGAACTTCAAGGTACTTTTGCTTATTTTGTTCGGCAACTAGTCATTGCTTCTGAGCAACTGATTTTATTAATTTTAAAGTTTCAGGGGATAAGGACTGAAATCTGATCAATCCTCTTAGCCGTCTCATAAACATTCTTTTCATAAGTATGCGACGTACATCCCAATAGAAGTGAAGTAAATCAGTGCATCGAATCGCTTCGCTCCCCCTTAACAACAAAATCCCTGCTATCACGTCTATTGTCACATTTCAACCACATTCTACACCTTTCTTACTTCCGAGCAACTTTTTAACAGAGAAAAAAACGATGCACAAGATCACTCTTTCATTTGTATTTTCAGAATTAATCTTACATCTTAAAAAGTGGAAATCATTACTATCACTATCATTATTGCTGCAAATGTTGTTTTAAGAGATCAAAATTTACTTTCTTGCTTCAAAGAATTCCACATTTCAAGTTGGTCTCTTAATATGCCAGAAATTTTTTCCCGTATGTTACAAATAATTCATTTTTAATATCCTATTAATATTAATTAATAGAAGCAAGCAATTTTTATTCCGAATTATTTTTCATTGAAACTGAGAGACGAGATTTTTGAACACTTTTTTACACTTCCCTTTACTAAATTGACTTTGCAGCAGATTTCTGTGCACTTTTATTTTAATAGTCATGACCAAGTTGCTCAACAAAAAAATTCTTGCCTCTTGGGCTACCGCTCTAAAAAGTATACCAGGGCACAATTTTTCTTCCCGAGTGGCATTTATCCATAACCAAATTTATGGTTTCATCA